CCAAGGTTTCCTGCCTCTGTCTTCTGTACAATGAAGACAGGTAAATCCCAAAGTTCCAACTGGGTGTGAAAACTCCCAATAATGTGTTGCTTCAGATGAACATACTAATGCTAATTATCAAAATGATAGAACAGAGCTAGGATTGACGTTTAAGGGAAAACATTTGTTTTTGCAAGGCACCTGCAAAAGTAATAATTAACAAATGCACTTTGTCTTATTGCATATTTACTGGGGCAAATGCCATCTATACTAGTAAAAGGGTTATATGCTAATTAGACCAGACATCTTCCAGACATCCTTCTGGACAAAGCCATGGTGGCAGGGGCCAAGGCAGAGGCAGTTAGGGGCGATCAGGTTGGTAGGAGAGGGGAGTTAGGGGCAACCAGGATGGTGGGGGTGGGCGGGCTATCAGGCAGGCAGGCAGAGTGTTTAGGGGTGATCAGGCAGGCAAGTGGGTGAGCAGTTAGGAGCCAGTGGTCTCATATTGCTAGTGATTGGGCCTAAACTGGCAATCAGACATCCCACAAGGGTCCTGGATTAGAGAGGGTGCAGGCCGGGCTGAAGGGGACCCTCCCAGCCTGTGCACAAATTTTGTGCATGAGGCCTCTAGTTGACTATAAAACTTGAGAAAGAGCTTAGTTATATTATTAATGTTCCCAATTTAGAACAGAATCTACAGATGTTTTTTTTTTCAAAATCATTATTATTGTAAATTAATATTCAAAGTTAAGTTCTAAAAGTTTACATAAATTATGTTTGAAGTTACTTGTTTTTTTTGTGGGTTATCTGAACATTTCTTATTCCCCAATTTATTTCTCACTTGTCTTCCTAGTGCTTAAAGTTTTTGCCTTTGGTTTTTACCATTTGAATTATCATTATGTTGAACAGCTATAGGGATCTCAGTCACAGACAATGGTTTATCAGCTTGAATTACTTATTAGTGTTCTACCAGAGAGGAGAAGCTTGAGAGAATATAAGTAAGATTTGATGGAAGCAGAAGAAAAGAGTACAAAGAAAGTGAACTCTGTATCATGATGAGGAAAAAGCAGAAGCAAAAGTTTTATTTATGTATTATTTTTTTCTTTTTTAATATATTTTATTGATTTTTTACAGAGAGGAAGGGAGAGAGATAGTTAGAAACATCGATGAGAGAGAGTCATCCATCAGCTGCCTCTTGCACACCCCCTACTAGGGATGTGCCCTCAACCAAGGTACATGCCCTTGACCGGAATCGAACCTGGGACCCTTCAGTCCCCAAGCCGAAGCTCTATCCATTGAGCCAAACCGGTTTCGGCGAGAAGCAAAAGTTTTAAAATGATAGGCATGCACAAAGAATAATAGAAGTTGTTGAATAATAAGATTGCTTAGCTCATAATTTTGTCTAGATTTTGCTCTGATGGCTTATAATATATAGATACTTTGTTCTTTTTCTTTTTAATAACAACACATTAATAACATTTACAGAGTGTATTACAGGTTACCAAGCACAGCCATAGCCATGGACTCATTTAAGTGACTTTTCAATTAGCCAGGAAAGATTCTAGTAGCTTCAGAGACAATAAAATTGAGACACAGAATTATTAACTGACTTGCCCAAGTTTATATAATCAGTGAGCAGGAAAGCTAAGATGGGGACTTGCATCTTTTGGTTCTGAACCCAATACTCTTTCTCCTGACTAGATTGAGTAGGGAAAACATTTATGCTTCCCTACTCAATCTAGTCAGGAGAAAGAGTATTGGGTTCAATCTAGTCAGAAGAAAGAGTTAGATAACCCAGGCTTGAATTTGCCTTTTTTTTTTTTTTTTTTTTTTTTTTTGCCACAACATGCCAGTGTTGTGGCCTTGGGCATGTTACCAACTGCTCTAAATCTGTTTCTTCATCTATGAGAAAGAGGGAATAATAATACCTACCTTGTAGGCTTGTCATGAGGATCCATCAGATGAAGCAAGAAAACAGCTTAATGCCTGAACATGGCAGGTACTTAATACATAGAGCAATAAACACCTGGAAAAGATACCTAATATTCCTATTTCATAGAATTTTCCTATATTTAAAGGTTATATGATTAATGAGGGCAACTTTCCAGTTTATTCAATGATATAGTGTCTCCTTGACTTACTCTAATTCAGGAAACTAGCTCCTGTGAAAATGTGTGTGTGTGTGTGTGTGTATGAATGCACTGTGCATGTCTTGGTGTACACCTGTACAAGTGTGTCCACAGGCACCTATGTGCATGTACTGAGGATATAGTAGCACCTGGTTATCTGTGTTCCTAGGCTATGTGTATCCAGAAATGTGGTCAAATATGGAGCATTTGTCTGCTGAAGATAACTGGAAACTGGATCATGACCATAAATCTAACTCAACCAAGTGGGCCTGAGCTCCAGAAACACGAGCTCTGTGCTCTCTAAGTATTTTTATGATACTTGGAGTTCCCACCCTGGACAGTTTAGAGCAACTGTCTTCATTAGACACAGTTATGAACTTGCAAAATTATGTTTTATTTTTTAATATACTTTATTTACAATTACAGTATTCATTCTTTCTTGAAATATTTTAGAATAGACTGGATTAAAATAATTACATAATAATATCAACTTTTTGTTATATATGGCACAGAATAATTTAACACTTTATAAATACATTTCATTGATACACAAATGGGAGAAGCACCCTTTGCCAAAAGCAGTACAATAATTTAGTTTCATTTAGCTACAGAAGTGGTTTAAAAACAGACCATGAGATGGCACTGCGACCAAGGGATTGAGTATGTCTTAAACAGAGTTTTCCCTAGTTATGGCATTTAATTTCTTTCCTTAAATACAGAATAATCTGCTATTCTACTTAACGCAGAGTAAAATTGGCTACTTTATTTTAAAGTATTGACTAGGGCAGTGTTCTTTAATTACAGATCTATTAATCATTCAAGGACTGTATTTCACTGGGGTAAGGAATGTATTTAAAAAGCCTTAGTAGTCAGGAAGTTTCTGGACTAAACAAAGGGCCGGAAGATAGCATTTTATCTAAGATCAATCAACTATATAGAAGGAACATTGTTTTCCCAACTTTCATAGAATTGCTGTACAGTCTTTCCATAAAATTAGGTCAACTTCCAGTTTATTTAAATACTGATACTTGTTACATTTTAATCTGCTTTGACAGCAATGGAAAGTCATAGAAACATTACAACATGAATTCACATTTAAAACAACATAATACAAACATGCACACATATATATATATATATATACTGAGTGTTTTCATTAATGATTTGCTTTTCCTCCATATAAATATGTAAATATTGAGTGAAGTGCATGGGAACATGTCTGCACATGTATACAGATACATGTTTGCCTATAATATACCCTTGAATTTTATATATATATATATATATATATATATATATATATATATATGGAAAGAAAAACATACACATTTGTAATATATATATGTACTCTCAAAAGACATATGCTCATTCTGCTCAAGATTGAGTATATGGGTGGAATCTGTAGTCTTTAATATATAATGAGATGTGCAGAGTTATAAACTAAGGCAAAATGCATAACAGCAGAAACTTTAACACCTGTATATTTTTATCTGTTAGTATGGTATAATCATTAAAGTAGTTCAGATCCAATGCAGTTTTGGTACTAGTGATTCACTATAATTTTTAGCTTTGAACTAAACACCTTTCAATGTATCTATAAGGACTTATTTTGGATAGCCATAAATGCATTTCCAAATTATACAATGGCACTTATCATGTTCTTCAGTTTTCAAATCTACATATTTTTCAAATGATTTAGAGAAAAAAATGTAATTCTCATTCAATAGAAAATACTATATTACTGCTTTTAAAAAAAAATTAGGAAGTACAATTTTAGTGAGAAATAAGTCAGTTTTTAACGAAGTGAAATAATTCCCCCCCAAAAAAACAAACAAACAAACAAAAAAAACTTTGGTAGTCACAGGTTGGGTCCAGGTTAAAGTACATATTTCTGAATTAATTGTAAATTTTGACTTCAAGTGGTATTTTCCTTCTACTGTGTTTGGTTGATACTCATCAGGAAACTTATTGAGAATATTATCCTCAGAGTAGAAACAAACCACTTTCTGAACCAGAAAGAAAGAAATTGAATTGATTCTCAAAATAAGTCTGTTAATGTTTTTTTAATATATATATTTTATTGATTTTTTTTTACAGAGAGGAGGAGAGAGGGATAGAGAGCTAGAAACATCAATGAGAGAGAATCACCGATCAGCTGCCTCTTGCACACCCCCTACTGGGGATGTGCCCGCAACCAATTACATGCCCTTGACTGGAATCGAACCTGGGACCTTCAGTCCACAGACCGACGCTCTATTCACTGAGCCAAACCGGTTTCAGCAAAGTCTGTTAATATTTTTGACAAGGACTATTCCAGTTAGGTCATTTTCTTTGAGCTGGAGAGCATTATAAGTGCAATAAGCCAGTCAGAGAAAGATAAGTATCACATGATCTCACTCATATGTGAAATCTAGTGAATAAAATAAACTGATGAATAAAATAGATCCAGAGACATAGAACATGCAACAGACTAAGGAATCTCAGAGGGAAGGTCGGGTAGGATGTGTGGATGGGAAGAGATCAACCAAAGTACTTGTATGGATAGATACAAGGGACACAGACAAAAGAGAGGAGAAGGCCTGGGGTGGAAGTTGGGGTGGGGGTGGGAGCAGGCTAGAAGGGGTCAATGGGGGGAAAGGGGAGACATATACAATACTTTCAACAGTAAAGATTAAAAAAAATAAAGGCAAAGATCGTATTTTAATTATTTTTATATCCTTAGTATTTAAGACATTTCCTCATAGATAGTATACACTTGGTACATGATTGTGAAACCAAAGCTGAACAGAAAATAAAATAGATTGATTGCTGTGAAAGCATCAGTTTACCTGATGGATGGGTGCCCACAGGAAAGACATCTGCATTTTATAGAGAAGTCTAAGACTACTGCTGTCAGTAGCCAAAAACCTGAGTTTATTCCTAAGTCCTGACAGAGTTACATCAATATGACTCAGTGCTGTAAGAGAGCATGCATGATGCAGTTATAAGAAGCAGTAACCAAACACCTCTATGATGCCATTTAGGAGAAGCAATTTTTAGAAATGTATTTGATAATGTTAAATTATCATTTTGATAGAATGGCTAGTAGAACAAACACTAAACAAGACCACATTTTAAATTCAGACTAAAGCACAGGTAGTAGAGAAAGCAGCAATAGTTATGAAATAACATTTAAAATCTTTTTCACTTCTGAGAAGAATTAACCTGAAATTCAGCAGATGACAGCAACTTTGCGAATATTTCAAAATGGCATCTATGGAAAAGTTGTCAAATATTTCATTTAATTATTTTAGCAATACCGACTTCATAACACTGTTCTTAATGGCTTATTTTTGTTGTTCCAAATATGTATCATAGTAAGCTTTAAAGACAATTGTTCTGTAAGAGGCCATTATATTCAATAAACTTTTCACTATACATAGCTATTTTTATTCACAGCGGTCAAGTAACCAATTTATGCCATCAATTAACAACATAGTAGGAAGGTTTCCACTTGAAAATAGAAATTAATTTAGATTTATTTATAGCCTAATTATAATTAAACAATAAAAGCTAGTTATTTTAAAGACATATCATTTACAATGTTAAAAATAAATATCATAAAACTACAGCTTGAAATGCTGTCAGAACATTTTTGAAGTGCACATTTTGTGGCATTAACCCTGCTTTTAACTGATGGAATAAAATGAGGCATCTAGATATTATTGTTGGTTTTACTAGACCCGCCTAATTTTTTCCAGCCTCTCTATTATCTTCTTTTTTTCCAGATAGGTGAAAACTTGTTCAGTGTGTCTTCCATTGTTGCCACGGCAACTAGTCTATCACACACAGCTGACCTTTTCATTCACTGGATTGATATTGTCTGTGGGAGCATATTCCGAATTTTGTTTTCCTAGAGGAATCATAGTACAGTCATTACCTGTCATTTCGGCATCTTTCTTTGAATTCTTTTTCTGTCCCTTTTGGAGTTGACTAGATTTGTAGGCTAAGGCTGGGATAGTGTTCACTAAAATTAACTGTAATGGTTTTTTATTTTCCTTGTACTGACACTGAATATACCGGGAAAAAGCTGACCTGTAGGTCTTGTTGAACAGGGTGTACACCAGGGGGTTCACTGCTGAGGAGAGGTAACCGATCCAAACGAACACGTTGAGCAGGGCTCCGATGACGTCCTCGTTGCAGGACTCTTTGCAGATGACGGCCATTATGTTCGTGATGAAGAAGGGGCACCACATGACCACAAACAGAAAGAAGACGATGCCCAGCACCTTGCAAGCTTTTTGCTCATTGCTGATAGACTGCATGGTCCTCCTGCCATAGGCACCTGGCTCCCTGTGGATTGACCGCTGGAAGAGCTTTTCTGAAGACAGGGAACTCTGAGGAAGAAAGCTGAAAGAAGCTAAGTTGGTCCGTGTGCCAAGGTCACCCCCACACAAAGTAGCTTCTTTCTGGAGTGACTTGATAGTGAGAAAGTAGGTGATCACCATGATGGTTAAGGGGATGAAAAATGACACGAAAGAGCCGATCAGGACAAAGTTATCGTCCGCGAGTAAGCAACTCCCTTCCTTAAAGACCTTGGAATCATCCTGTAGCCCAAAGACTGGGATTGGCATTGATATACCTGGAATTAGACAGAAATTGAAAAGTGATTATTAAGGAATTGAGTACACGAAGGCAAGAGCGAAGATACATAATGGTGGCCCTGCAAAGGATTTTATATCAACATTATTTAAAAGCTTACTATACTTTCAGTGACAATTTAAAATTCCCTTGGAATTATTTCCCTTCGACTTAAAATTCTCTTGAAATTACTTTATATCAACATTGCTTAAAAGCTTACATACTTTCAAAGAAATTTTAAATTACCCTTGAACTTAATTATAGATATTAATTTTTATATTGTAACTGTATATTATCTATACTAATAAAAGGGTAATATGCTAATTAGACTGGGTCAACCGGACATCTTCTGAACCTCTGACTTCCTTCTGAACAAAGCCACATTGGTGGAAGCTGAGGAAGAGGCAGTTAGGGACAGTCATACCAGCAGGGGAGCAAGCAGTTAAGGGCAAGCAGTTAGGCCAGTAGGCAGAGGTGGTTAGGGGTGATCAGGCAGACAGGCAGGTGAGCGGTCCCAGATTATGAGAGGGATGTCCCACAGGGATTGGACCTAAACCCACGGTCTGATATCACCCAAGAGGTCTGAGATTGGAGAAGGTGCAGGCAGGGCTGAGGGACTCCCCCCCATGCACAAATTTTGTGCATCAGGCCTCTAGTATATTATAATATGTAATTATAACATTTAATTTTAATATATAGTTATATATTAATTATAATTTATACTAATATATAGTATTTTTTATCAGACATAATTAACATAATATATAGTTTCTTATACTTATACTAGAGGCTAGATGCATGAAAATTCATGCAAGAATAGCCCTTTCTTTCCCCGGCTGCTGGCACTGGCTTCCCTCTGGCACCTGAGACCCAGGCTGCTTCCCTCCTCCAGCCACCTGCAGGCACCCAGGACCTGAGCTGGCTTCCCTATGTCCCTGGCTTTGTCAAGAAGGATGCCCAGTCTAATTAGCATATTACTCTTTTATTACTATAGATGTTATGTTGCCCTATATAATCCTTTACCTTTAAAGAACAATAAGACTAGCTTTAATAGTTCATGCCATATTTTTCTGATCATATTATACTTATTAGTTGAAGAAAATACACAGAGAAAAAAACCCCACAAAAATAAAATGCCCAATAACACCACCACCCAGAGATAATCACCATTAACAATATAATGTTGTTTATTTCATTTTATCTATTTACTAGAGGCCCAGTGCACTAAATTCATGCATGGGTGTGTTCCCTAGGCCTGACTGGTGATCAGGGCTGATCAGGGTCTTCTGGTTGCTGGCCAGGGCCTTCCTGCTGGCTCTTAGCTGCCGGATGGGGCCTGCCGGATGGGGGGAGGGACCAAGGGAGGCTGGCCAGCCATGGGAGGTTGGCTGTGGGAGTGCACTAACTACCCAAGGCAGCTCCAGCATTGAGTGTCTGCCCCCTGGCGGTCAGTGTGTGTTATAGCAGCCAGTTGTTCCGGTCATTTTGGTGTTCTGGTCTCTTAGGCATATATATATATCTCCTGATATTATCACAATACCAGTCCCACTCCTAAATAGAAATTTAATATTTTCTTAATATAATTAAATATAGAATCAGTTTTTAAATTTCTAATTTTCCTGTAAGGTTATTATATATCTTTAGTAATAGAATATTCATAAGGGTGTATTACAAAGTAATAAGCAGCCACAGACTTTCTTTTGTTGACAAATATAAGAGTTAGGTATAGGATGAGACAATACATGGGGTCAGTTGCTCTGTCACTCAAATGTGGGGAACCTCTATCAGGCACAGGAGTAGGCAGAGTAGGGAGCAGAGTAGATAAAAGCAACACTTTTCCTCTCATCATGCTAATTTCTCCCCCATTACATAGGACTTATTAAAGGGAGATTCAGCTGGCCACCACCACCTTGTGCAGTTTTGGGGAAGTGGGAGAGTCTTTCTCTAGTGCCCTGGGAAAGGCCAAGGCAATCATATGACTGCCACAAGGAAGAAGCAAGGTGATAGGGAAGACAAGGAGACATGAATCAAATTCTCTGTATAACCTGGTTTAAGGTCGCTTCATTTGTGAAAAGGTAGATATCATAGGGGCACTCTGAGAGAAAGTCAGAACAAAGTTTCTTTCTAGTACTGGGCCAGGTTTTCAGCTCCCTCAGAAGTGTATAATAGGGAGTGTCACAGCTTCTGATCCAAACTCTTTAGAGTTTATTAAGTGGTCACAATCCAGCCAAGAACACAGCCTCATTCCAGAGTTGGGGGCTACTACTCGCTTGACTCTTGTGATAATGTATTCATTATCATCTGGTAAAAATTTTGTTGAGGATCTATAATCTAATTTGTACATGCATAGAACAGAGGTCAGTTCCATCCAATTGTCCTACTGCATATCACCTCATAATTGCTATTCTTGCCAGGAGAGAACATTAGCTTGAGTTAAAGTAATACTTAACATAATTCTTTCTCAGTAACATTTTCTAGTATCTTCATAGGCTTAATGGACAATATTTTTCACTTGTCTATGCAAAGCCATTCCAGTACTCTTGGAAGGTGGAGATAAATGACATCAGAACTGCTCTTAAGGAAACTAATGTGGTTAATGACCCTTCACTTCCTTCATTCCTCTCTGTCCCTGGCCTATTTTTGGGAACATTCTTTGGGTCAAGAAGAGATGGAAGAATGATGGCTCCAAGAGGAACATCTTCTGAAACTCTTTTTTAAAAAAAATGTATTTTTATTGATTTCAGAGAGGAATGGAGAGGGACAGAGAGATAAAAACATCAATGATGAGAGAGAATCATTGATAGTCTGCCTCTCCCACATCCCTTACTGGGGATTCAGCCCGCATCCTGGGTATGTGCCCTTGACTGGAATCGAACCTGGGACCCTTCAGTCTGTAGGCTGATGTTTTATTCACTGAGCCACACCCTGCTCAGGGATCCTCTGAAATTCTTTTTATTTTTTTAATGTATTTTATTGATTTTTTACAGAGAGGAAGGGAGAAGAATAGAGAGCTAAAAACATCAATGAGAGAGAAACCTTCACCAGCTGCCTCCTGCACGCCCCCTACCAGGCATGTGCCTGCAACCAATGTACATGCCCTTGACCGGAATCGAACCTGGGACCTTCCAGTCCACAGACCTATGCTCCATCCACTGAGCCAAACCAGTTTTGGCTCTTCTGAAACTCTTGATACACACCAGTTTTATTTAGCCTTCACAAAAAACTTACTTTATTTTATTCGGTTATAGTTTACAATCAATATTATTTTGTATTAATTTTAGGTGTACAGCACAGTGGTTAGACAATCATATATTTTACAAAATGTTTCCATTGTTAAGTCTAGTACTTACCTAACACCATACATAGTTATTAGAATACTAGAGGCCCAATGCATGAAATTCATGCAAGAATAGGTCTTCCTTCCCCCGACTGCCAGCACCGGCTTCCCTCTGGCACCTGGGCTTCCCTCACAGCCCTGGCTTCGTCCAGAAGGTTGTTCAGAAGGATCTCCAGAAGGATATCTGGTCTAATTAGCATATTAAGCTTTTATTATTATAGATTATTGCTCTTTCTGGTTTGGCTCAGTGGATAGAGTGTAGACCTGTGGACTAAAGGGTCCTGGGTTTGACTCCAGTCAAGGGCACATGCTTGGGTTGCAGGTTTGATTCCAGTATGGGGCATACAGGAGGCAGCCAATCATTGATTCCCTCTCATCATTGATGTTTCTATATCTCTATCCCTCTCCCTTCCTCTGTGCAATCAATAAAAATATATTTAAAAGAAAGAATACTATTGACTGTATTTCTTATGCCATACTTTATATCCCTATGGCTATTTTGTAACTACCCACTTCACTTCTTAATCCCTCATCTTTTATATCCAGCCCCTTGATCCCTCCTTGCTTCTGGCAACCATCAGTCTGTTCTCTGTAGCTATGAGTCTGTTTCAGTTTAGTTTGTTTATTTACTTTGTTCTTTAGATCCCACGCATAAGTGAAATCATATGGTATATATCTTTCTCTGACTTATTTCTTATAGCATAATACTATTTAGGTCCATCCATGTTGTTGCTAATGGTAAGATTTAATTCTGTTTTATGGCTGCATAATATTCCTTTGTACATATGTACAAGAACTTTTTCTTTTTATCTACTTGTGTATTGATGGGCACTTGGGTTGCTTCCATATCTTGGCTATTGTGAATAATAAAGCAATTAACATAAGGGTAGCCTTCAGGAAACTCTTGATCATAAAAGTTAAGACATGATTACTAAGAAGAATGTTTTGTTTTCCAAGTGTTTGAACTTATAACTGTTAAAGGTGTTTCCTGTACTCATCTACAACATCTTTGTTTCAGAGTGCAGTTATTCATTGATTAAAATAGACCTGGATTTGAGTCTTGGCCCTGGTTCTTTGCTCCTGGGCCAGTGACTTCACCCCTGTAGGCCTCAGTGCCTCATCTATCACATTAGGATGGCACCCACATGTCTCCACTGATTGTGGTGAGGTTAAATGAATTAAATATACAGAAACCTAGAACAGTGATTAGTTCAGTTATTCTCCCAATGAAAATAGCATTCTCTTCAGAATTTTTCAGATTGAATACATTAACTTGATTTTTTCTAATTTTGTTTTATTTCACTTTGTTTGTATATGCTATATTTTAATATACAATATATCTTAAACCAAAAGAAGCTAAAAAGCATTTTGGTTATTCTTGGCCACATAGTTAATAATGATGTAATTATCAACTTCTGCCAGGGTGACAAAGAGACTCAATTAATTTAATTTTGTATAGCTTGAACTGTTGATTGCTTTTCAAATGTGATAAATTATAGCCATTACTATTAGTTATGATACACATAAACAAAATATCAACTGTTAAAAAAAAGTTGTATTATTTTGTCATTAAACTCTTGGGTGTATACCTTTAGAGCTCTTTGCCATCTTTGCTTGTGACCTGGTGATTTATATAAGTGAAAATTCTCAATTAAACAGAATAT